GCTCTGGGCACAGGGCATGCAGCCGTTCCTGGAGAGTGCAGGCTGCGGTTCGGCAGTACCGTTTCTGGAAGATTAAGTGATTAAGCCTAACTAAAAGTGACTAACAGGGATGGATCTTTCCCTGTCAAACACACAAGGTTTTCCAAAGAGCGGCTCCAAGGTTGTGAGTGAAGGTGAACAGCTCTGCTTCTAAAGACTCCTTAATTTTAAGAAATTCAAAGAGCCGGCAGGACACTTTGTTCTGTGACTTTCTTAAACCTATACCCTACTTCACATCCCTTTCATGAGCCATCATCTTTCTTATTTAAAGCAGACATGACGGAAGTTTAAAAAAGACAGAAGAGATGAGAAGTACGAGTCTCTGCAGATATAAAGTATAATTTAGCAAAGTATTTTATCACCCAGTCCTGCCAGGTCCTCAACACGTTCTGCAGACACGGACTCCTCCACTCATCTTGTGAACAGTGGGGAGAGGGAGCACTCCAGTCTCTTTCTGTTTGCAGAAAACTCCCTGGTGTTGACTTTTCATTCAGCCTTTGCATGCATATTTATATGGCTAAAGCTTTGAGAGTCTTCATGAATTGATTACTGTGTTTTGCAATAAACCATTATTTATTTAAGCATTCATATTGATTCATAAAACCCAAGTTCAGATCTTCTGATGAACATGGTATGAAAACACAGATAAAATAGGAAGATCCAAAAGAATATGTTTTATTTACAGGTTTTGTATAAATACAGAAAACAGGGGATGGGATAAATAACGAAGTAATCACCAAACTGTTTTCATTAATAACTTATCAAACTGGTTTTATTTTTGAAAGCATCCAAAAGAAGCTAAAAGCTATGCAGGCAGCTGGTTGAATTTCTCCTGGAGGGTTTGAATGGGACTGCAGGCCGGTGCTGAATTTCACTCTTGTGAATAAATCCATGCGTTATCTTTTGGAAAGCAATATTTTTCAGTGTGGAATAAAGCCTATTTAGTAAATTATTATTTTTGTTTTTAAAACTAAATGACTCTTTATTAAAAAAGAGACCTACTGAAATTTGAATTTTTCCTCATTACCTGAGGCATAATCAAATTGTCAGCTGTTTTACAAGGGTGATAATGTGGAACAGAAGTGTGATAACATTTGCCATCATTCCAGCTGGTTCCCCCCAAAAGACACCTCTTCATAACCTTCTCATCAGTGAACCCACACCATCTTAGAGAATCGTAAGTTACTGCTTAGAAGTGATCTGATAGTGAACATCACAGAATCATTAAGGTTGGGAAAGACCCCCAAAATCATCAATATGAGTTGTTAGATGTGTTTTATTTGGAAACAGTGTTATTTGAAACACAAATTAAATGCTGATTTCTGGGAAAAAAAATAATTTATGAATTCCTTACTAATTTCACACTGTCAGTGTGACCAGGATTTTGCTACAGGAGTAGATCATGCTGTTTTCAGATTTCAGAGGTAAATACTCAACCATTTCATTTTACTGTTGTAGAGAGAAAAAAAGCTGAGAATATTTCAAAAGTTTATAATGCTATAACAAGATACAGCAGCCAAAGAGACAGCTGGGCATTTTAAAGGTGAAAATAAAGCACATGTGTTTACTAGGGGTTTCTTTGTAAAACCACTTATTAGGAACATTTTAAAATCGAGACTAGTTATTTCCTAGAAGTTTTACTCTACTTTGAGCAGGACTTAGTTTAAGGAATTTGCTAGCTTGTGCAGTGTAAGAAGTCAGAGTAGATGGGCTTAGGAGCTGTGACTCTATTTGTCTAACTATAATGGATCTATAAATTAATCGAACTGGACTGACCATAAGGGCAGTTTCCCAGTCAATGTTAATTAATTCTTAAATAAAATACATTATCAATCACTATTTTTAAATATATTTAGATATAGAATAGTCTATAATTAAGAGTCCAAACCTTTGAGCTTGACATTCTCAGTGAACTGGGATGTAAATGGCAGTCCTCACACACTAGATGAGGCACTTGGTTAGATCCTGCTCTTATTACTTTAACTGGATACCTTAATTCCATCCCTGCAGCTCTATAGTTGGTCATGATCAACATCCAGCTCAGTTGTTGAGGGTGATAGGATACTTTTCAAGGACTGAACCTATTTTCCATTTCTCAGTCTTTCCTTGTGAAAACAGTGATGTTTTAACTAACTCAAGTAACACTGGTCCAGAAAGATACTTTTGCAGTGGATCCACTGATTTCAACATTTTATAATGGATGAGAATACCAGAGAAGTAAAAGATAATGCAACTGGATATAAATTAGTTATGTGGAACAGCATATTGTTAGGGCCCTGAGGGTACAACCACGCCTTAATCTTCTTAAACTCCCACCCACCTTGTCTCCTGCTGCTCCTGGGACCGGGCAGGTCCCATTCCGGTTATCTATCTATGCCACATTCTGGTTATCTCTCTATCCAGGAGGCCACAACACCTGAGCTCCCTGTGACCTGAACTGCAAACCTGCTCAGGACTGAGGTGCCTTGATCTGGGAAGCTTTGCTGCTCCTCTCAGTGGCACTTTAACACCCCGGTGTGACATAAATTTCAGATTACCCCACAACTTTTCATATTACCCCCATTAACTGTTCTACTACCGCAGTCAGTATATTCCTTTCTCACTCTGTTCCTCTAGAGTTCCAAAGGAGAAGCTTGCATGGATAACAAGCAGCTGCCGTGAAGATATTTAAAAGCTATTCCCTGAGATAACTATGATCTTCACAATATTACTGCACAGCGATGGAGCATGGAAGTATTTCTTGGTCCTTTGGCAGACAGAAATCTTCCGAATGTGATAAAACAGAACCAGCCACTTTCTCTGGCACAAGAAAATTTGTGCTTAGGCACGTAAGTTAAAAACAAACAAACAAACAACCCTGAAAACCAAAAACAACAGCTCAACACAGATCTTAGAGGCTGGAGAAGGCCACTGGTGTGAAGGAGGAGAGCAAAATCACCTCAGTTGTACCTTTCTTCAAGTGAATACGAGTCGCTTCCCTGACTTCCCTGGGAACCGTATTAGGTGTTAATATTAAGGAGAGGGCTGTGAGGCCAGCGGGAGAGCCCCTTCCCCGGTGCCCTCGCTGCCCGAGATCCGGCTGGGCCCGGGGGATGCTTCCACCGCACACAGCCCGGCGGGGGCAGCG